TGGCGGTTTCCGTTTCCCTGCTGCCGCTCCTTAAGCTGTGGGCAGTCTCGCTTCATGTGTCCCGGCTTTTTGCAGTAGTGACAGTTCCCCCTAAATCCCATTTTCTGTGAGCCGTCACTGTTAACTGCACCAATCTCCATGGGCGATGGTCCGTCCCTCGATCGAGCGTCGTTGATCGGTCTGTTGTATCCCCTATCGCGATCGTCACGACCCCGTCGGCTTCGTACTGCGTCGACGCGTTCTGCTGCTGCGACTACCGACTCGAAGGTGGACAACCCGTGAATTGCAATGACTTCCGCTATGTCCGGCTTCAACCCTTCGAGGTAGCGATCGCGCATCTCTGCTTCCGTGATATCGTCTATCTCGTTGCAGATGCTCAAGAACCGTCGTGTGTACTCCTGGACGTTGCCTATCTGTCGGAAATTACGCAGACGCTTCCTAGCAGCTTCGGAGGCGTTCACCAAATCGAACCTACTTTTCAGCGCCGCTTCAAATCCTTCCCATGTGGTCGGAACCGTGGTAACACCCAAAGCTAAACTCCCTAAGCTCGAAGTTGCAGCTGCATGCCCCACGCCCTGTTGATGCCCGTCCGTCTGAGCCCTTCTTACAGCAGTTTGAGTGAGTTGGCGCCACCACTCCAAGGCCGGGCCCCTCAGCAGTGTAACAGCGTACTCGATCCGCTGCTGCGCGTCCGCCTCTTGCACCCCGCTCGCGGCGAAGTAGTTGTTCAGCATGAAGAGCCACGTCCGAACGTTCGCGTCGCGTTGACTTGGGTCGAACGACTCGGGTTTCTGCGGCTTGAGTGCGCTTCGACGTTCCGGCAGCGCTTCCGCGCCAGTCGACGTGTTGGGCGCAAGAGTTGGTGTGGCATGACCATGGGGGTTAGAAGCCAATTCACGAAGCTGTTGCATTTCAGCTCGTACCTATCGATTTTCCAGCGTCAACTCTTGAAGTTGGCGCATGAGTTCGGCAAGCGTGTTGCCCATGTCGTGGGGGACTGCGTGCATGGTTTCGTCCATGTTCGCTCAACGACTCCAAGTCTTCAAGTCGGCACCGCGGGACGATGACGTCGTAGTCTCGTCGTCGACGGTCGCTCGTTGGAAGTCGCTCCCCGCGAAGGCTCCTGATACCAAGTGTTAGGCCCGACGGCCTAAGTCCGCTAAAGAATTAGCGGGGTCGACTAAGTCGAGGATGAAACGCGGCGGAAGACTTTGGCGAAAGAACTATTGGCGAAATAGGCGAAGAAGTTACTAAGTAATTGAAGAAGAGTTGAATGAGAATTGATTGATAATGGCAAGTACAAGCAAGGTTTATATAGCATGCAAGAAACAAGGTTGGAAAGTGGAATGTGGGACCAAGAATTGGAGTGCAAGAAAAGTAGAGTGCCACGTGGCACTAGAGAATCTGAGAAGATAAGGATAATGGTGACTAGGAATGTACTGTTCGGAATGAACAGTAAACACCCCTCTAACCCATTCCCAGTCGTTAACTGTATTCAGGAGAGGACCGGCCGTTGCCCTCTCCTCCAGGCTTCTATGGGGGGCGGTGGAATGTCCTAGGGTTTTTCTGTTCGTTTCACGGGTTACTGCTGCTCCTTGGGACCAATTCGTTTCGCATCTGTTCGTGGACCGTTTTAAAATACACCCTTTTGCCCTTCGTCATCGCACAGCGCCGTTTCCAGCTTCCTTGTCGCACTGCAACCTCGCGGGGAAATGCTGTTCCCGTATGTCAGTACGCAGGAGTTCGAGCCTGATTCATCGATCCAGCTTTTGCAGCCAACTCTTGCTGACTACATACATCTACGGCTGTGCGATTTCGCGAGTGAGCGCCGTCGCAATCCGCTTTCTCCGCTGAGCTCTCTCGCCATGTCCGTCGCTGATCTGCTTCGAGATTTCCTGAGCGTCCAGGCGGATCGCGCGCGGATCTACCATGCTTTCGAAGGGTACGATGCCAACCTTCTACCGCGACTCATGCGTTCGCATCACCCCCTCATGTTTTTAGTCTGACTCTCAGATCGTTAAAACCAAATTCCGTTCCAAATTCCGTTCAGCCGAGCCTGACTCACGTCACAACCCATTCCCATCAGCTCAATCAAAATGCCGTTCTTAGCGATCGCTGATCTCACGGTTTTGTATCACGGCGCGTCAATTCCTGATGCGTGTACCGTCTCCGCGCGAGAGCTCAGTCATCGGCGGCCTTCGTGTCGACCAATCACCCGTCTCCGTGTTGCTTTCAGAAGGCTGCGCAGCAAGAGTCAAAACTTCCCGTTCCTCTCTCCCCCTCCCTCGTCTGTGCCACACTCTCCTTCCTTCCGTCCTTCCCCGCAGCGCGTTCGCGGACAACCTCTCAGGAGCCTCGCCGGACTCCGCCTTCCACCGCGCGTGCCAGGCCATAACGGCCGACTTCACGCGCTGCTCGCTCAAGGTACGAGCCGCACGGTAGTTTCCCGCTAGAGCTCTGCGTGTTTACCATCTTGCATCAGAGATTGCGGCTAGAATGCGCTGCGAATGACAACTACGCGCTTTGTCTGATAATTTCGCTGCTGCTTTCTGCGCCTGGGCGGCGTCCCCCTCCGCGCTCCCCCTCCCCTCAGGTGCGGGAGGTGGAGGCACAGCTGCGGGCGGAGGGCGCGGGGCGCGCGGACCTGGCGGACGTTGTGCGGTGCGTGCAGGAGCAGGAGCGGGAGAAGCTGCACCTGGTGAGACTCCATGCGGTGGAGGGTGGTTTAACGGGATGGGATGAGATGGGATGAGGTGGGATGGGATGGGATGGGATGGGATGGGAGGGGAGGGGAGGGGAGGGGAGGGGAGGGGAGGGGAGGGGAGGGGAGGGGAGGGGAGGGGAGGGGAGGGGAGGGGAGGGGATGGGAGGGGAGGGGAGGGGAGGGGAGGGGAGGGGAGGGGAGGGGAGGGGAGGGGAGGGGAGGGGTGGGGTGGGGTGGGGTGGGGTGGGGTGGGGTGGGGTGGGGTGGGGTGGGGTGGGGTGGGGTGGGGTGGGGTGGGGTGGGATGGGATGGGATGGGATGGGATAGGATGCCATTCTATGCTTCTATCCCCACTGTCCCATGTGCAAACGTGAATGCGCCGTTTCGTCACCAGACAGCCGTCCATCACAACTTGCACGATTTCCTTTGCAACTGCGCCTGCATCTGCACCTGCAACAGCGTGTGACATTCGCCTCGTCTGCCCCTTGCTTCCTCGCCCACCACACATTCTGTGCGTCCCATCCCATCCGATCATGCCATCCCATCCCAACCCATCCCGTCATGCCACCCCACTCCGTTGCATCCTGCCACATCCCATCCTCCTGCCCCATCCCATCACATCATTATGTGACCTGGTCTCTTCCCAGACGGCCGTGCATCACGTGCTGCGCAAGTCTCTCCGTCCGTCCGACCGCCCGCGCTCTGAAATCGTCTCCTTTCTGCCGCAGCGGCACAGAGACCACCCGCAGCCTCTGCAGCAGCCACAGCCACTGGAAGAGCAGCCGGGGCTGCAGCAGAGCGAGGGGCGATGCGCTGGGCATCGTGAGTATGATGGTGCTGCCAGTGGTGGTGCCAATGGTGATGCTGATGGTGATGTGTGGATGGGTGATGGTGAGCGGCAGCAGGGCAGCAAGGAGGAGGCAGGTGTGGGCGGCGGACAGCTGACAGACGATAGAGACACAGAGACTCTCAGGTCCCACGGTGGTGCACAGACACACGAGTGTGTCGGCACGACCAGGTTTGCAGGTGGGGAAGACGCACCCGCAGGTGGTGTTGATGGTGACATTGCGCGTGAGCTGGCGCATGCCTCACTGGTCTCTCCCGATGCCGCTGTTAAAACCTGCAGTATCCCAGCCTCCTCTCAAGCCAGCACGCAAGCCCCCACTGAAGCCCAGTCACATGTGGTCACAGGAGGCCCCGCCACTGAGGCCTCTCCTCCAGGCCATGGCCTTGCAGCCCCGGCCCAGGGGCTGTCAGGCATGCCCGCGCCCCTCCCGGGGCTGTCAGGCATGCCCGCGCCCCTCCCGGGGATTCCACCTGAAGCTGCGGCTGCCGCCTTCACTGCTGCACGCAGGGCAGGCGGGTGCGGGCGTGAGCACAGCAGCAGCAGCAGCAGCAGCAGCAGCAGCAGCAGCAGCAGTAGCAATGCTGGTGGTTGTGGCACGGGCAGTGGTGCGGGGGTGCATGGGGAGGAGGACGGGGAGGGCGAGTGGGAGGAGCAGTGTGCGGTGGCGCGTCTAGATGCGGACTATGATGCAGCGGTGGCGGAGGTGAGGCAGGCCCTGGCGCGCATAGTGGGGGACATCAATGAGGCGCTGGAGGAGGTGCGGTATGAGGTGGCAGAGCTGGTGGGGGAAGCTGATGTGGAGGATGCTGCTTAGAGGGGTGCTGGGGACGGGTGTGGGAAGGGAAATGATGGTGCTTCTTTAGTTGCCTGGCTTGGAAGTTGAGAGATTAATGAGGCACCGGAGGAGGTGTGGTATGGGGTGGCAGAGCCGGTGGGGGAGTAGGGCTGCCATGGCTTGGCTTGGCTCTCCAATAGTTGATGCAGAGTAGGGTCATGCGGTATCAGTGAGTCGCTGGAGGTACATTGTTGTGACTTATATTCAAATCAAATAGCATCGCCTGTCTGAGAGAGATTTATTGACCGAGTTCAGTACCAGTCTCTGGCTTGTTCAGTAAAATGGCTTGTTCCCAGCAAGGCAGGAGCATCACTGTGTGTGATCTACTGGTAAACCAATCGGAGGGTCCTGCAGAACGTTGGAGCCAATCCTATCTGCAGGCAGCATTTGCTTGTTACCTTAGTAGGTATATATGTAACATTCGGTTATATTTTTCAAACCTAATTACCGGTACCGGTATGTGTGGTCCAGTCCATAACTTATTATCCTACGTATGCTCTGCACCTAGACACTGCCCTGTAGCTATCTTGCACCGTATGCTTGCGCTTTCACCGTGCGACCCTGACATCCTCGCTGTGGGCATTGCATGATGACAGGCGCTAGTTGCTAGTTGATCATAGATAGCCACTCGTGATCTGGGGGACGGGATGGGGACGGGATGGGGGCGGGATGGGGACGGGATGTGGAAAGAATGGAGGAGGCATGTTGATGAAATGGGAAACAGCAAGCATGGGATGGGCAAGGGGAGCCGGATCAGGAGTGGGACTTGGCTGTCTGGTAGCAGCAGCACAGGGGTTGAAAAGAGCTCACATAATGCATGCAGCCAACACAAGATGCAACAGCAATCATGCCTGGAGCTGTTGAGACACACAGCCGCATCAGGCAGAGGTGACAGCACATCTGGGCGGCTGCCAGCACACCTGGGTGGCTAACTGGACATCTGAACGGCTGACAGCACACCTGGGTGGCTAACTGGACATCTGAACGGCTGACAGCACACCTGGGTGGCTAACTGGACATCTGAACGGCTGACAGCACACGTACCGAGCACTTGTTGTGGCGTGGGTCTGGCGGTGGGGTCTTTGACGAGCATCCAGCAGATGAGGTGCTTGCATGCCGCCGACAGGTTCTCCCACTCGCGCACGCCGTAGAACCCCGCCTCCTTCGCCACCAGCACGCTCGGCCACCCGGGCCTCTCCTCCGGTGCCACCGAGCCTCCAGTGGAGGGTGGGTCGCTGTACGGCGCTCGGCCAATCACCAGCATGAATAAGACAATCCCCGCACTCCAGACGTCGGATTCCGGGCCGTACGATTGGTCGAAGACCTCGGGAGCCATGTACTCAGACGTGCCGATGACGTCGCGGCACGGCTTCTCAGGGCTGTACAGCGTGGCCACGCCGAAGTCAATCAGCTTCACGGCATCGCTGCTGAAATTGCAGCTGCTCGCGCCCATGCCGGCACTCGTGCCCACGCTACTGCTCTTGGCGATGTGGCCGGCGCCGGGGCGGGAGGAGGAGGAGAGGGGGGAGGTGTGGGCGATGAGGACGTTCTCGGGCTTGACGTCGCGGTGCACGATGCCGTGCGCATGGCAGTGCTGCAGCGCGCGCATGAGCGACCGGAAGATGCGCGCTGCGGAGGGTTCCGGGAAGTTGCGGTGCATCTGGATGCGGTCGAGGAGGTCGCCGCCCTCGCAGTGCTCCATGATGATGTGCACGTGCTGTGGGGGTGGGGGGGGAGGAGAGGGGGAGAGGGGGGAAGGGTTGGGGAGGGGGTGTACTTAGAAGATCTACCCATTTGGGGTGTTCTTTTCTTTGTTTCTCTTTTTTGTTTTCTCTTTGCTGTTTTTCGAAACTGGCCTGCGAGCTCATCCTGTACGAGTAACGGTAAGTGGGGCAAGGAGGGCTCACCCTCGTGCTCTCAATGGTCTCCTTCATGCGGATGATGTTGGCATGCCCCTTGAGCCGCTCCAGGAACCCCACCTCGCGCCGCACCGCCTCCTTCTCCGCCGCACTCTGTGGCATGTCAAGGGGGGCGAGGGGGGCCACAGGGGAGAGGAGGTGAATGAGGGCGAGGGTGGGAGTGCACATACAAGGGCTGGAAGATGAGGCACGGCAGAGACAGACATGTTGGGGAGCGCATGAGATAATGGGGGAAGGCGGTAAGGTTGCTAGCCTCGCCCTGGTCTTCTGTTTGTTTGCTTCTTTGTTTGATAGTTTGTTCGTTGTTCGGAAAAGCAAGGCAGCAGATTTTGCTATTTTGTGTTGACCTGTGAAGGTTCTTTCAACTCACCAGCAGGCTCCGCTTGCCGATGCTCTTGCAAGCATACGCCTTGCCAGTCCCACGGTGCACGCACTTGCGCACTGTGCCGTACTGCCCGCGCCCCACGGGTGCGCGCCCCACCACGTACACCTCCTTCAGCTCGCGCAGCCCCCGCCCCAGCACCGACCCCCCGCCCCCCATGAACAGCGCTGCCCCCGGGTGCTGTGCCTTCTGCTGCTGTGCTTGCCCCAGCCTTGCCTGCTCCTGCTCCTGCTGCTGCGGCTCTTGCGGCTGCTGGTCTTCCCCCTGCTGGTGATCTCCTGCTTCCCTGCCCACCCTGCCTGCGCCCTCCACCTTGAGTTGAGCACCTGGCGTCCGTATGTCCTCTCCTGTCCTCTCGCATGCGGCGGGTGCAGCAGCAGCAGCAGCAGCAGCAGCAGCATCGCCGGGAAGCTCTGCCGAGCTGCAATCCACGATGCTAGCAGCGTCGGCAGCGGCAGCAGCAGCAGCAGCAGCGGCCATGGCAGCGTCACAGGCGTCCTGCTGCATCTGCTCCAGGCTGCGCATGCCACAGTGGATCTGCTCCCACCACCTCCCATTGCCACCCTCCTCACCGCCCCTCTCATCAATGCCCCTAGCTGCAAACTGCACCTCGCCCTGCTCCCTTGCTCTGTACTCCTTCTCGCCACGCTCCTTGGCACTGCCACTGCCACGCACCAGCCTTGCTCCGCTGCTGCTGCTGCCCTTGCTCCTGCTCCCAACCACTTGCACCACACCCTGCCCACACATACCGTTTTGCACACCCATGGCATCTGGCTTCAGAAAGGTCTCAGCGGAGGGAGTGGGCTCAGAGGGGCCATCCGGGTACAGCGGGCCGGTGCGCAGGTCAAAGTCAAAGTCAGACGACAGGAACCCAAACCGCTCCCGCCCACCCCTGAAGCCACCAGCACTCAATCCCGTGGCCCCACTGCCAGCAGCACCGCCGAAAACTGCAGCAGCAGCAGCCGCTGCAGCAGCAGCAACTGCAGAAGCAGCGCCAATCGCCTCCTCCACCGCATCCCTCTCGCCCCTCTCGCCCTTCTCAGGCCTGCCTTCTGTCTCCTTCTCCGTGCTGCCAAAGGCCACCAGCTCTCGCCTCTCACCCGCCCCTCGATCCCCACCTCCCACGCGCTCCAAGCTCCCGAACGCGCCCTCGCGGTATTCCACCTCGTCTGAGCCCACGAACGACCCGTGCAGACTGGCTGACAGCAGGTCGCGTGAGCCCAGCGAACCAGAGGGGGGCGCGAATCGCACGCCTTCCTCCGAGAAAAGCAGGTCCCGGTCGGATCGCCCTCTGGGAAACAGCGCGTGCTCCCCGCTGCTCGCGCCTCTGGCTTGTAGAGTGGAGCCTGCGGCATCTGCCGCCCGCTCCCGTGCACTTAAGAAGATGTCTCCGCCGCCCAGGGAGTCTCTCATGCTGCCTTTATCCCCTGTCGGATAGAGATCCCTTGATCCCGACAACCCTTCCCCGCCAGAGAACATGCGCCTGTGTCCTCCATAAGAGCTGCTCCGATTGAAGGCTCTCTCCCTGCTGCCGCCACTGCCACTACCACTGCCGGCCACTCGGTGGCGGGAGGCAGAGGAGGAGGAGGAGGAGGCAGCAAGGGCCGACCCGGTGTCACGAGAGGGAGTGATGGAGAGGGGAAGGGGAGGGGGAGGGGAGGCGGATGGGGAGGAGGAAGGGGCGAGAGAGGGGTTGAGCCAGGCGGGGTCATCCCCGAAGGAGAGGTCGCGCAAGGAGCGGCGCTCCTTGAAGCTCGAGCCCCTGCGCTCGCCCAGCAGCTTGCGCCTGCTGCTGCTGCGCGGGGGGAGCGGGGCTGCTGACGGGAGTAAGGGTGACGCGGAGGCATGCACCAGGCTGATGCTGTTGCTGCTGTGGCTCATGCCGCTGCTGTTCTCAAGGGCTGTGAATGGGTTATGTGGTGCGAGATCGGAGGATGGTCGGTCAGAGGCGAGGAGTTCGAAGGATCCGGAGAGAGGGAGGTGTGGGTCAAAGTGTGACGCGGAGGGTGGGTGAGGGAGGGTGAGGTCAAGGTGCAGTGCTCGTGGCGTGTGCGGGGCGGAGGTCTCAAACTGCCCCGAGTGCGGTGAGAGAAGTTCGAACTGGGTGGTATGCGGTGCAAGCCGGTCCAGGGCAGGGCTGGAGGCACCGGAGGAGTTAGCAGGGGAGGGCAGGAAGGGCTGGAAGTAATCCATGGGGGCATCGAAGAAGAGGTCTGACACAAACCGCCTGTGCCCCGGTGCACCTGCTCCCCCCGCCCTCCTGTCGCGCGCGTTACCAGCATGACCAGCGTTACCAGCGTAACCATCCCGATCCACAGCACGACGACCAGCAGCAGCCAGCGTGTGGTCAACAGGCGCAAGCAAACCAGCATCCCCTTCCATCCCATCACCAGCAGCAGCACCAGCAGCAGCAGCAGGAACAGCGCCGTCAGCAGCAACACTTGGGAGCAGGCGGTCAGGGGGGAAGAGGTGGGGGTGGGGGTGAGGGCGGAACAGCAGCTCGCCGTCCCAGTCCCGCAGGTCCTCGTCAAACTCCCCCGCGTCCCTCGCCGGCCCCATGGACCACGACAGCCCCATGCCCATCCCCCTCCGCCGCCCACCAGTGCGGCTCCTGCTCCTGCTCGGCCCCCTCGACCGCCTCCCTTCCCCTCTGCTCCCCTCCCTTTCCAACGCCCTCCCTCCCCCTCGCACTCTCCCCCTGCCCCTCTCGGTTTCTGCCTCGCCATCCGCGTCCCCCTCGTCAACCAAGCTGCCAGTGCTTGCCACGCGGGAGAGCACCTGGGGGCTCGGAGACCTGCTCCTCACGTTCAGGCTCGGCGCGTGGCCGAAGCTGGCGTTCAGGTTCGGGCTGTACCCAGGGCTGATCTGTTGGCTCGGTTGGGGGCTGCGGAGAGCATGGGAGGACGGGGAGGGCGAGAGGCGGTCAGAGGAGAGGGGAAGAGGAGGGAGGTGCAGGTGGGGAGGGGGAGTACGAGGGCCAGAGCGGGAGAGAAGGAGGCCTTGAACGGCGTTGAAGCTGAGTGGCCGCTGCAAGAACCGCCTGCTGCTGCCGCCTAGACTGCTGCCCGTGCTGCCTGTGCCAGCAGAGCTTGACTGACCCGGCCCTCCCCCTCCCGCTCTCGCTTCTCCTGCTTCCCCACCCCCTCCTGTGCTGCAGAGACCACCGGTGGTGTTGATGCTCCTGCTGCGGTGGTGCCCTCCCCTCCTCGTTCCGCCACCCTCCCCCACATTGGCACCGTCACTCACACCACCAGCTCCTACCCTCATCCCTGACCCAGCAGCAGCACCATCAACAGCGCCAGCAGCAGTGGGCACAGCAAAGGTGGGGCCCATGTGGTAACTGCGTGACCGCGCATGCATGCTGCCGCGAGAGGCGTTGGGGGAGCGGGTGGTGGGCGCAGGGGAGCGGGTGGTGGGCGCAGGGGAGCGGGAGCGCGCGGAGGGGGAGGGGGAGCGCCGGGCAGAGGGGGACGGGGATTGATTGGAGGGGGAGTGCGCAAATGCGGAGCGGGCGGAGGGGGATGGGGGGAGGGGGGAGCGAGAACGGGGGGTACGGGAGGAGTGGGAGAGAGATGCGTGTGAGAAGGACGAGGCCCGATGGTGTCTGCCTCGCCCTGCTCCCGCGTCCCCCCTCCCCTGTGCAGATCGTGACAGCGTGGCAAGAGCTGCCTCCAGGTCAGCAAGAGACACGTCACCCCCCATATTGGAAGCCGTAACAGGTGGCGCAATGATAATTCCACCAGCAGCAGCAGCAGCAGCAGCAGCAGCAGGAAGAACATCCCCATCACCAACGGCAGAAGGATCAGCTCCACTTGTGGCAGCTACAGCCGCCACCCGGTTCTCTACCCCCATGTCCCTTGATCCCCATATCTCTCTCTCTCGTCCCTCTTGCTCCCACCCTCTCCTTCCTCTTTGCCACCCCCTCCCTCCCCTCTCCTCCCACACTCCCTCATCCCCTCCGCCTTCACCCCGCAGACCGTGAGGTTCGGACCCAGAGCCTGAGCTTCCAGGCTCGGGATCAAAGGCGTGCGGAGAGCTTTCGCAAGAAAGGGATGGGTGAGGAGGAAGGTGGGATTTGGGAGAGCGATGGGGTTGATGATGATGATGGTGATTGTGGTGGGTGTGATTACAGGGAGGTGTCGCTGGGGAAGGTGGCATTTGAAGAAAAGGGGTAGATGGGCAGGATGAAGAAGCGGATCTTCCATGCCTCGCCCCTCCAACTTTCCCACTGCCACGTGGCGTCCGCTCTTTGCTCTTGCCTCTCATTGGCTGACCGTCCTGCTGCACGCCCAGAGTTGAGATAAAGAAATCGAGACACGCCAAATCCAGCTCAGGAGGGGGATGGTGGGATACGCGGCTGGGAGGGATGCTTTGGAAGTTGCCTTGACAGTCCTGACTCGGCAAACTTTCGCAGTTACTGTAGTTGCTGTAACTGCTGCTGGCGACGCCGCTGCACTCGCCAGCCCAGCTACCTTCTAAAGTTTCGCCAATCTCGTCCATCGCGACGCCCTTCCCTTTCGCAGACGCACTCACACGCCTTCGCTCACTCGCGCTGCTGTTACTGTCGCTGCTGCTCTTGCTACTTCTCGGCGAATTTTTCCCTCTCGTGGAACCTTCTCCACGCCTTGCCTTCCAATTAGAAGCCGCGTCACGCAAACTGAAAAACCCACCACTTTCGGTGTTTCCGTCTCCGTCTCCATCACCGTCACCGTTACCGTCACCGTTTCCGTATAAGTCGTCATCGTCACAGTGACTGCCAGAAGTCGAAGATGGTAGCCACTCGCCGCCATCCCTCGACACGACAGCCGCCGCGATTAACGGAGGCGGAGGGAGGGCTGAAGGAGAAAACGGTCCGGAACGCGATTCTATTTTCGAAAACGAGCTGCTCCCCCTGTTTGACGGAAACAGAAGTGACTTTGACTGAGCTTTCGACTCTGACTGAATCTTCGATCCTGACTGAGATTTTGATTTTGGAAACGACCGGTTATTGACGGCCGACGGTTGACTGGCGTAAACCCTCGTTGTACCGATATCGAGGGTTTCGCGATTATCCTGGTCCGCGACATGGCTGGCTTCGTGGCTCACATGAATCACTGCGTGGGAAGCTGATCCAACGGCGGTTAAACCGCTCGCAGTAGTTCTCGCCGCGTTTCCAGAATTTTCTCCTGAAGAAAACCCTGAATTCATTGCGGGTGCTGACGAAGGCGGTGGATGCGCCACTAGCTCACCAGCGTCGCCAGCTTTATTCATATTTCTCTCTAGGTTCGGACCGCCAGGAACCCCAGCAAATGTTAACTCTGCCGACGAAGTTTCATCAATGGTCGGCGACGCTGGCGACGGCAAGTTGGGCGTAAGCGACTCGGCTGCGTGCGATAGCGACGATGGTAAGGGCGACGGGTGCACAACGACGTCGTTCGCGGAACAGATCCTTTGCGATCGCGACCCTCTCTGCAAGAGCACACTCTTCTGCGACGCCGCAGTTTCAGCGGGATCGGCGCCGACAGACAAGGAGGAGCTCCTCCCGGCCACTCTGCTCCACCCGCATCTTTCGGCCACCGCCTCCGTCGCCGCGCCGCCAGGAGCGTCGCGATCCGACTCCGATTCGGATTCGACGGGCGTGACGGCGGCTGCTGCGGCGGGTGGGGTCATGGAAAAGCCGGGGAAGTCGTCGACCTCCCAAGCCGACGGGTTACCTAATTTCGTTCTGCCAGGTCGTTCGTCGCCATCTTCGCCGCCGCTGTACTCCTCGTCGCGCGCGTACGATCCGTCGCGCGGAAAGATGCATTCGTTCTGAGAGGATCCCAGGTTGCTACGACCCACTCTGTTCCCTTCCTCCCACGAGCCTTCCTCCTCGTTCCCGCTGCCGAAACCTCCTGCCGCGCTGCTGTCGTTGCTAGTAGCGTCACCGCTGGCGCTGCGACTGTCGTCTGTCGTTGTCGTCCCGCGAAGTCCGGGCATCCGCATCAGCTCAAAGCTCGTGAGCGTTTCGTCGGTGTCGTTTGCATCAAGCTGGTTAGCCGACTCCGCTTCGCCCCGCTTCCGCTCCTGTCTCCGCGCCGCCGCCTCCCCCGCAACAGCGTCTCGCGCGAGTTGTGAGGCTTTGCCAGCCGTCCCACGAGGCCGCGCCCCTGTCGATCGGGGGAGGCGTTTGGCGGAACCCGGCTTGTCGAGCGAAAGAGCCGTGGAGAGAGATGGCGATTCGCGCGTTACCGAGGCGGTGACAGCGTCGGCGTTGCTGCTACTCTTGCGCAACGCCAGGGTCGGACGCTCGCGACCCTGCACCTGTCGCCGCCGAGCCCACACATTGTCAGACTCTCGTTGCTGCGACTCCTGCTGCGACTGGTGTTGCGACATCAGTGTCGTCATCGCCTGAGGGGGGCACGGCGCCACGTCTGATGTAACCCCAGGTTCAGTGGTGGATAGTGAGTCACTGTTAGTAGTCATGCTTCTTGCTGCGGTCGCGTCCAACTGTTCTGGACGGGTCGCGATGGGATGATCACACGGGCTCCTCGTCGAAGGAAAGTTGTTGAACGCGCTGATAGGGTGAATGCCGCTTCTGTCGCCGCCGTCGAACTCGACGGAGCCACTTTTGACTGCTTCCGCGACGCCGTCGCTCTCAGTGGCTGTAGCGGTCGAGCACACGTTAGAACGACAGGACACGCGACCGTCAATGGAGCTACTAGTACCAGTAATGCTTAAAAACGGGCTCATAGAGTCGTTAAAGCTCAAGGCCTTGAGCTTTAAGGAGCGCTGGTTGGGGGATGATGGAACCCCGATGAGTGCGTTGTGGGTTGGTCGTCGAAGGTATCGAAGTATATTGAAATAATTAGTTAAGGCGGCACCATTCTACACGATTCGTAGTAATGTCGCTGCGGCGCGTTTCTTTGGGCACTGTAGCAACAGAAACGACGGAGGGTGGAGATTAACGAATAGAAAGATGAAGAATTCGAGGGTGGAGTTCTGTACAGTGATGTATTTTACTGTGCACTGTCGTTCCGCAGGGCAGGAGGCTGAAATTTCCACGGGCCGTGATATCCCGACATGGTCCCAACTGGCGCGGTGCGAAGTAGGACTAAGGGATCGGCGGCTTACTGGCTGCTATGACCTATTGAGGAGGAGCGACTTACGCGGCGAATCACAGAATATTACGCGGGCTGGGTTGAATGCGATAAGATTTGAATCGAATGCCATTCATGCGGAGTGGATGGGTTGCACGGTTTCCAAACTCAAGTGGCGTGTGTTGTTGGCGCGAATGGGCTCGCCTGAAATGGCGGTGGCTCCTACCGACAACTAGCCTTGAGGTTTACCTGGTACCGTTGTATGATGGTCCTAGGAAATGTTGAACTTGATCAAGGGAAATAGCTCTTCATGCAGCCCTCCTTATACGGTCCTACACCCCTGGCGGAAAAGAGACTTGATCTCCTTCGAGAGTTGTTGTCCGGGCTATAAAAATAATATCACCAAAAGTCACTAAACATGACAAATTCATCGTAGATAGTCACTCGGTATCACGCATAGTCAATCGTCGCCCCACAATGCTATCACGAATGGTCACTAGAAGAAACGCCCGCCAGAAAGTTGAAATCCTTCTCCCCACGATGTCACTCTTTGCGATTCAGGGACCTTTTGCTTCTATATTTTGTTTGTTTTTTTTTTTCACGTAGCACTGTTTCATGCGCAAAAGGTGATAACATCTTGGGCGAGGAATTTTCAAACATAATTGATTGAGTATCATTTCGATCCTGTGGTCTATTATTGTTGTAGCTATTTGGAGTGTTTTTAACAAATGAATAGCTACTCAGGTTTTATGAGGCCTCGCCGAGGATGTTCTCGCTCTTTTACGCTTAGAACAGTGCTACGCGAAAAAGACAAACCAAATAAATGCGCTAATGTCCCTAAATTGCAACCGTGTGACATCATTGGGAAGGGGGTTTCAACTTTCAGGCGGCGCTTCTTTTAGTGATCATTCGTGATAGCATTGTGGGGCAACGAGACACTACACGAGATACTGAGTGACTATCCGTGACAGATTTATCCATTTCAGTGAACGCTTGCACTGACCATATAATTGTTTTGTAATATTGCGGTCTTATTAGTAACTTTGACTAAAACAACCCGCTGGTGTTCTGTAAACACATCCGCTTCAGGGATGATCACAAGTACGATTCAAAGCGTTTTTTTATGTGCTGCGAAACTTTATTTCCCGAAGACGGAGTGGTGGTGAGTAGACAGCAGAAAGCATGTTTTCCCTCCCATCGCGATTGTATTACAAATGTTCTCGATTAGAGTCCCCGTAAAAAACATGCGCGCTACGGGCCTTTGTGGAAAACTCACAAACCCCGGGCAAAAGAGAACTTATAGTCCCGTATAAGGAGGGCTGCATGAAGAGCTATTTCCCTTTGCTACTATTCGTGCATTTCTGTCACATACGTACATTCGGACTACGCTGTCTTCAACTTCTCGTCGCACGGTTCGCCGCGTTGATCAGTGTCGCAGGACAAACGGGCAGACAAATACAATGTAAATTATGTTGAAAGCCAAAAAAGAGGACAGCATTTTTTTGTTTTACACTGTAAGCGAGACTAATGAGATGGCATCGTCGGAGCTCGCGGGGAACCGCGCAAACATAATTTAGAAAAAAGAGCGGCCAAGATAAACAGACAAACACAACTGCAAAAACGTAAACAGTGAATCAAAACTTA